GGTTTTTTTTAACTTGTCCATCCAATTTTAATGTATTTTTCAAAATCACGTTTGTAGAAAAACATAATAAATATTCAAAACATCAGTACCTTGGCGTGTCACAACTCCTGAATTAATATTTAAGTAATTTTATTTTAAAATATATTCAATTTATCTTAAATTTTTCAATTTCACTACACACATAATGTATTTTTCATATTTTATCATAGATTCGAATAATAGCAATTTAAAAAAAATGATAATCTTTGTACTCACTTTTACCCGTCAGTTCTGTGTCCAATGTTAAAATTTAAAATTCCTGAGAAATATTGAAGTTTAAACGTCGTCCTCGTTTTAACTCAAGTGTTGGTAAAAAATTACCTACAGAGCCCGCCCTTTGCACGACAGTCATCTTGAAAACAATGCAAGCGGCGGTGTTGTGGTGAATGCACCCCACTGGGCATGCAACATTACACAAGTTTAAGGCAATATTGCTTCTGTAAGGGTTTTGAAATGTTACAATGTAACATTTGGGCAAGCTTGATGTAACATTGCATATAAACATTCCTGTAAATAATGTTGTACCAATGCTACAATACAAACATTGAGACAATTTTCTCAAAGCAATATTGCTATGATATGATTTTCGGAAGATTGCTACATCATTGGAAAAGCAACATTACTGCACGATTCCTCCAACAGATTCGAAAAGTAATAGGTATTGACCTCGAGCATGATCCATAGCTTACGTCATATTGCATACTCATCACTGATGAGTCATCAGGACCAACTATGCGAATCAAAGTAAATATGTAATAACCATAAGTACGATTTAATTTACACTTTTTTACCATATATAGTTGAATAGTCTATTACATCCAAATTTCGCGGTTATTTCATAAATTTTACCTTCCACCAATCGGTAACGGACAAAGATAATAGGTTTAACAGGCGTGCAACAGGTAAGTTTTATTTATATCATGGCTATATGATGGTTAGTTGGTTAAACCATCTAACCATCATTATAAGCCATGATGGTTGTACCATGGTTATCACCATTGTTTTTAGGTATTGTTTCTTTGTAAACTTTTAGCCCAATAATTAAATTTAATTTTTAATTAATTTAACATAAATAAATAGTCATGGCATTAATTACAGCAAATACAATTCAGCAAGTCTTCCATAAAGCTCCTTAGAAGGTTAGGTACCTTTGTTGAAAACTGAAACAACCATGAAACTTGGATATAGGTAAGTTTTAATTCTAAGCAACATTTCCTTATTTAATTTTTTAAAAATTATGGGTACTTACTTGGGCCAATTATAAATGTTCCTACTTTATGACCACCCTGTGCATTTTAAGTTTTAATAGTCTAATTTTATTTTTTTAGGAAGAATAAGATTTTATTAAGACGTAACTTTTTTTGTAAAATTAATAATAAAAAGTTTTCCATTTGTGGAGAACTTACTCTTTATATTTATATGTATGCCATATAAACTGCTCAAAAGTTGATAAGGAATTTTTAAAAAACATTTATAATAATAAATTGAACATAAAATGGCGATTTTTCGCACTCGTCAGAAAAAATTCAAAACGCTTTGTAAACATATTAAACTTTTGATCAGAATAATTATTATTTTCCATCGAGTTTTGTGATTATTTATGTTATATTAAAAACTCCTTCTCAACTTTTAAGGTAGTTGTGGTACAATATTGTCAAAAATTTTTAGATTATACGCACCGTAAAAGTATACGAGCTTGTAGCTAAGTGATTCATAATTTTTTCGCAGGACTGTACCCTGGAGACGTTACCTTTACGTAATACTTTCAAATATTTTAATAAGTTTTAATCCGGCAACGTCGCTTATGCCCAACCAATAGCTATATTAGATACTGATTCAGTCTGCTTAAATTTACTGCGGAAATACTATACTCGCGTACAGCGTTGCCAAGTTCTTTTAATCTGACACTAGTGATGTATACTTTTCACAAATTGTTGAACTTTAAACGTTTATTTATAAACAATTGGACGGTCAAAAATTTTTTTAATTATTTTTTTTTAAACTCTGACAAGACTGTTAGTTTTTTGAAAGCTTCTGACAGTTAGTTTTTTTATAACTAAGAAACTGGTACAGAACTACAGAAAGCGTATACAATCCATGTTAATTATCCAATTTTTAATTGAATTTATCTCGGGTTATAGACGGTCAATCGACTTCAAATTTTAAGGATAATTGTATTGTCATGTCCTTAATAAGATACAAAAATCTGATGGTATGCTTGCAGCACGACAACTACCTTAAGCAGTTTATATATGGCAAGTATTTTCGATATTTTTGTTATAATTATCAAACTGTTGCGGAGTTCAAAAAATATATCTGACACAAATATATTTGTGTCAGATTTAATTTGTGATTATATTTTTTTCAATAAAATATATTTTTTATACCTACTTTGTTTATAACTAAAAATTGCTTTAGAGTTTAAAACAAATGTTTTTGTATTTTTTATGTTATTTGTTTCTTTAAAAACATTATTATTATATAATAATATATATTATTATAAATATTGGAATATAAGTATCAATAAGGCCGGCTGACACACTACTTACATAATTTAAATTATGTATCATATCACCTGGCCTTAAATCATTTGCCACTTAATTATATCCTAATAATTATTGAGATGTAATATCAAAACCTCTAAAGCGGTGATGTGCTTTATCATTAAACTAATAATTGTGATATTTTATTTTTTTTATGTTTTTATTTTGTTTTAATTTTGGTTTTAATAAAGAAAATGTAAATTTCAGATTTGTTTAAATATTGCTCCTTAACCTCCCTTTAATATTTTGAGGTAATGTTACAACATGCTTTAAATGGTAATATTGCTACATGGATTTAAAAGCTATATTGATACAATATCAACAACATTTATGCATTATTCGTACCTTGCATTGCAATGTTGCTGCAAGGAAGAATTAGGGTTGCTACAACATTGCAGCAATATTGCATTACGGTTTGATGCAACATTACAGATTACAAAGCAATATTGCGTCAACATTGCAGTAATGTTGGTTTGCTCAGTGGGACGTATAGTTCCAGTCAAAATTTCAGTACTGTGGTGAGTAGTTATTTTCTTACGTATATATATTTCATTGTAATTTATATAAGGCTATATGTGATTTGTTAATAAGTAGCATCCACTAATAAAAAATATCAGTAAAATACTTAATTCCGAATTATAATCTCAAATTTGTATCCCATTCATCAGTACCGTGTCGTCAGTTCCATGTTCGATGTTTCGGTTATCTTTTTTTCGCAACAATTTAAATTCTGCTTGCGCAGAACTTGTTTATTTAATGTCATTATATACTCATATAAATTTGGTGTGGGTCCCATAATTAATAATTGAGATATCGGTTTACCCAAAATCTACCAGCCGCCACTGATGTGTGGTATTATTTAATTTTAAGATATTTAATGTATAATATGCTCAAAGTTGCAAGAAATCTTATATTTTCCAATAAATTATGTATTTAATTAGTACCCTGGTATACTCGTCACTTCCCTTGCATTCAAATTTAGAAAACACAGATATTTCAGAAACTGTTTGAAAAAGTGACTGGTCCGGTCTGGAACAGTATATTTATTATATTATCTATGTTCCCATAACAAAATACTGTTTAATTTTCTCCGAAAACTATATAAACAAAATGACGATTTGTGTCCAATAGGACACAAATCGTCAAGGTTTCGTCACGTTGTGCTACCTGGGTAGAATCACCCAAATATATATATATATATATATATAGTTCCAGATATATATTAAAGTTTTAAAAAACGAATTTATGTTTTTGAGTTTGTATTTTTAGTATATTTTTTTATTTATAATCGTTTAGTAGTGCCATCGGCCATTTTTAAAAAGGTCAACGCGTCGCAGAATAATACCTCCCGGGCAACGTGGAAATTTATTCATATATTATATCACGAGAACTATGAATTTAATCGGTTAAACTAGGCTCAGTAGTTTTTTGTTTGGTTTTTGTTGGAAAATGTTGAATGCAAAATAATTTAATAAAATCACGAGACCGCGTAGCGGTCGAGGGGTTTTATTTTTAATTATTTTGCATGAAACTATTTTCCAAAAAGAAAAATCAAATAAAAAACTTACTGAGCATAGTTTGACAGATTAAATTTATAGGTTGAGTGATATACGTCTAGATTATTATTATATAAAGGAAACTATTTGACAATTCATAAAATCTGACGTAGGTATGTGTCAAAATTTATAAATATTTTTTAAAAGAAAATTCCATTAATTTAAGGTATGTAATAAGTAATAATTGATATTTCGTAAACTAGATAACTTATTTTTTATTGTTTTTTAAAAAATGTTTGTTAAAACTTGTAAATAACACCATAAAATCGTAAACAAAAATCCAATATGGAGGCTAAAATTTAATCGCTGTTAAATAGTTCTAGTGATTTAATCTCTTATTTAAACGAAATTTATTCGAAAATTCAAGGCTTTTTATTGGTTCATATTATAATGAGGGAAATAATCGTATTTAGACAAAATTAACCTCATGTAGCCTCACCCATCTATACACCCACAAGCCGCCACTCCTTTAAAGCGCAGTATTTTCGTTACTGTTCGTTCGATTAGTAAAACATTTCCAGGGTAAACTAAAAAAATACGGTCTTTCACAGCATATTTTTTAATTACTTAAAAAAAATTTTTCGAGCGTTTTTTAATATTAAATAATAATAATAAAAATATTATTCATTTTAAGGGTATTTTTTAGAAAAACCCTTGAACACGTAAGTTAAATTATTTTTATATAAAATTTTATAAAGATTGGTAAAGGCGTTTTGGAGTTGGATTTTTTTTACTTATGCGTTAATTTTAACGGGTGTATTTAAAACTAATTTTTACCAAAATAACATTTTTAGTAATAGGTAATACTTTTTAGGTGTCTTCTACACCAACTTCCCCAGAGTAATCGAATTCGATTGGACGGTAATAGACAAACCAAAAGAGTTCAATTATTTGTTCATAGTACAGATGATTTTGTTCTACTTTTTCCTGTCGATGAGCAGATTTCTCGCGCTACTCGCGACGTGGCCCCTATTTAAACTAATAGATGCGAATTACACGTTTAAAGAACTTATCGTGATTGGCTGGTGCCACATCATCGGACCATTGCAAATGATCATTATGATGCAGATTTTCTGTCATCGCCTGACTTTCTATAATTGCGACGTGATTTACTCTCTGCTCATGGTCAATTACATCATGACGAATTTATTTAATGGTACAACCATACCTTATGTCTACAGGATATTGGATGATAAAAATGTTCTTCATTTTAATGTTAATAACATGGATAATTGTTTGACACATTTGCTGGAAGTTGCAAGTTACAAGATAGAAGCTATAAAAAAGGAACAGTAAGATACTTTTATACATATACCTATAACTCCTATACGGGTAAACGACTTACCACGCCCCTTGCAATTATTAAGAGACAGGTATATGTATCTATCTCAAATGGTAAAATGTTTCCAATGCGCATGCTACACTATTAATATACTACAGCTTGCCTTGTTTCACAAAACAAAAACAATGTTTTCAACCAAAGAGGTTATAAATATTAGGTTATAAGAAAATGACAAGAAAAAGAATTTTTTGATTTGGCGAATTTAAAAAACCGGGCGTGGTATATTGTAACGCACATGCGCAAAAGTTCCCATTTAACAATTGAAATAAGGGCATCTCTCCTTTACGGCAAGAACTTTTGCACATTGAATGAATTGTCGGTTACCCGTATAGGAGTTATAGGTAAGTATAGGTAAGTATATATATAAAAATATTGTAAGTAGTAAACCTGGAGACATGTCGAAATTTTATATATATATTAGGGTGTCCCAAAAAAAAAGAATATTTTTTTTCTTCTCGTCTCTTGTGAAAATATGTTGGTTTGTCATGTTTTAAGAGCCCTGTCAAAAGATCAGCACCATTAAAAAATTTTTAGGGGTCGCTCAAGATTTTTAAAAATTACCAAAATCGTAAAAAATTGTATTTTTTTTAATTTTAATTTTTTTTCTCGTTCCGATATTATTTTTTAATTTAAAAATAATAATGATTCTGAAAATTTCAAATCGATATTTTAATTTCTAAAGGTCGCTCAAGATTTTTTTAACTTTCAAAGTAGAGTATTTTGAATGTTTTCGAGCGACCTCTGAATATAAATATCAAGGAACTTTTAGCGACCTTTAGAAATCAAAATATTGATTTACAGAATTTTTATTATTTTCAACCTAAAAAATAATATAGAGACGAGAAAAAGAATTAAAATAAAACAAAAATTCAATTTTTGACGATTTTGAAAATTTTTAAAAATCTTGAGCGACCCCTACAAAATTTTTAATCGAGCTGATTTTTTGAAAGGGCTCTTACAGCATGATAAACTAACATATTTTTACAAGAGACAAGAAAAAAAAAATTCTTTTTTTTTGGGACACCCTAATATATATATATATATATACAGTATGTCTCAGTATCTTGGAATCATATGGAAAACTTTTTTATTATTAATTTTAGGAAAAAAAGTTATTCTTCATAAAAAGTTCTGCATGGTTTAAAACTTAAAATTCAACCCACAAATAGTAATTTTTTTTAGTCTTATACGGGGTATGTCAAAAAATATGAATTTGGCTCAAGAGTAAAGTACCTTTATATTTGACAATATCGAAAATTGTTATAAAGAAAAGTTAATCAGAACTAAAAACTACGTTCAAATATGCAATTACATCCATTTACATTAAAAAAAAATATTTTTTCTTTTTTGTCTACAATATCAATGCAAATTTAACTGTAACATGTAATTTAGGATTCACTGATAAACAAATGATTTGTTGATATTCTAATACTTTTTGGCCTGCTAGATCCCCTGACTTAACTTAAGGTTTCATGTTTTTTCTAATCATAACAGATAAATGTTCATTTTAAAATAGAAAGATTAGTAAAAATTGACAAAACCTAATTTTTTAATGTAATTGTATGAAATTGCATATTTAAACGTAGTTTTTAGTTCTGATTAACTTTTCTTTATAACAATTTTCGATATTGTCAAATATAAAGGTACTTTACTCTTGAGCCAAATTCATATTTTTTGACATACCCCGTATACGACTAAAAAAAATTAATATTTGTGGGTTGCATTTTAAGTTTTACACCATGCAGAACTTTTTATGAAGAATAACTTTTTTTCCTAAAATTAATAATAAAAAAGTTTTCCATATGATTCCAAGATACTGAGACATACTGTATATATATATACGAGCCCTAAAAACTGTTCGGACGTTACCAATTTTTAGAAATATTTACTCATTTCTCATTAAAGAAATATTATTTAAATTTAAAATATTTTATTTTTTATACGCTTAGTCACATATACAAAAATAAGATCTTCTATATATATAATCTTCCTATAGGAAACATTATAAAATGTTACGGGGAAACCGGTGGTTACGAAATTCTGTGTAAAAGAACCGGCTAGACAAGAAAAGTATCTCCTAGAATAAGGAGGCAGCTCGTAAGGATTTGCTAAAATAATCGAAGATCCACTTTTAAGGGAAGTAAGGGAACATCCATTAATTATGTGAGATAAAAATGGGGGGGAGGGGTCTAGCAAAATCTCACCAAATCTCATTTTAAGGGAGGGGATGTCATTTAAAATCTCACGTCAACTTTTGGGTTTAAAGAATATGTATTATAATTCAAATTTGTTAAAAAAAGTAATCAGTTTTGTTTGTTTATGATGTCCGCAAAGAAAGTTTAATGGCTAGAATATCACGTGAGGGATAGGGGGGGTCTATGGGAAAATAAATTTCAACAAATTCTACAAACCAGCCTTATTAGAAGATCTTTATCCCGATGGTAATGGTATCTTTCAACTGGAGCATCAAGCTACACTGCAAAAACAACCAAAAAATGGTTTGAAGAACACACTCCAGAATAATTTGTTAATATTTATTTGTTTTATTTTTTTTTCTATTTTTATTGTATAATATACATATACATATTCTGTGACTTCTAAGCGTGTAAAAAATAAAATATTTTAATTTTAAAATTAAATAATATTTCTTGAATGAGAAATGAGTAAATATATATATATATATATATATATATTTACTCATTTCTCATATATATATATATATATATATATATACAGTGTGGCCCACTTAAGATGGAAACACCCCCGTAACTTTTTTATTTGTAACCCGATTTTATTGAACAAAGGCTCAAAAACTCTATTAGAGCTGTTAAAGTTGTTTTTAAAGTCACCCGACACATGCCTACTATAATTTTTTTTCTGTGTCAAAATTAAAAAAAAAACATTTAGGGTAATTTTTACGAAAAAAATAATTACGCCACTGAATTTGGCATGCTTAAAAATGGGTAAATACCTAATTTCATTAAAAACAATCGATTGATAATTATTTTACAACGGTTTATTCATTGATTTTTTAAATGTTTATAACGACAATAGAAACACATATAAAAGGTTTAGGAAAAAAATAGGTACGCCACCGAGTTTGGCAGGCTTTAAAATGGGTATATACCAAATTTTATCAAAAATAAACAATTAATAACTATTTTGGGCAAGTTTATTTTTTTACGTTATAATCATTAATAATTAATTATTGCTACAAAACAAAAACTAAGATAGCTATGCTTACAACTTCAAACAAACGTCAAACCAAAAACAGGCGATTTGACAGAAAATAGTAGCGTCCTTTTTGTGTATTTTTTAACAGTGTATTTAAAAGTTATTATCTACAATCATTATGGCCCATCAGTTTTTAGAACACAAAGTTGAAATAATTTCGTTATCTCCTACTAAACGGACAATTATTGTCCGTTTAGTAGGAGATAACGATCGTTCAGCGAGAGAAGCAGAGAATTTAATAATAGGCAACCTGAAAGGCAGCCTATAAGCAGTGGTACTTTTTTAAAATCAATAAGCTATTTAATGAAACTGGTATGGTTTTAATACCATATACCAGTTTCATTAAATAGTTTATTTATTTTAAAAACAGTACTACTGCTTATAGGCTGCCTTTCCGGATGCCTATTATTAAATTCTCTAGCTGCTTCTCTCGCTGAACGAACGTTATCTCCTACTAAACAGACAATTTCAATTTTGTGCTCTAAATTTAACTGATGGGCCATAATGATTGTAGATAAGAACTTTTAAATACACTGTTAAAAAATACACAAAAAGGACGCTACTATTTTCTGTCAAATCGCCTGTTTTTGGTTTGACGTTTGTTTGAAGTTGTAAGCATATATGCTTACAACTTCAAACAAGCTATAGCTATCTTAGTTTTTGTTTTGTAGCAATATTTAATTATTAATGATTATAACGTAAAAAATAAACTTGCCCAAAATAGTTATTAATTGTTTATTTTTGATGAAATTTGGTATATACCCATTTTAAAGCCTGCCAAACTCGGTGGCCAGTGGCGGATCTAGGCAGACCGGGGCCTCGGTGCAAATCATACTTGAGGCCCCTGTACCCTTCCCTTTAAGACGAACATTACTAACCCTTTTAAAATTACTTTATACACAAATAATTTGACTATTTAATTTAATAGAAAATATATATATATATTTTTTAAACATTTTACAAAACAGAAGAACATATAAGGAACACCTATAGAGATGTATCAATACTGTCTGTAGAATATAAAATATATATATATATATAAATATATATAAATAACCAAATTTTTAAAATACCCTTTTTCTAACTTTAACATTTGCAAAGCGATCTATTAGGTTAGTTATATCCAAGTTGGATGCAATTTCATATTCTACAGACAATATTGACAAATCTCGCAATCGCTGCTCACTTGTCGTAGATCTTAAATAATTTTTTAATATTTTTAGTTTACTAAAAGTTCTTTCCAAAGAGGCCACCGTTACAGGAAGAGTAAAAAATAGCATAAAAACTGTATAAACCTCGCAAAAGTCTGCTTTCATACAGGCAAAGTTCTTAATAATAAATTCAAAAAGATCTCTTATTGACATACCAATCAAACAACATATGAAACTGATTTGCAAAACAATTAGTCAACACATTCGGATATTTTTGGGTCAATTTTTCACATCTTTGTAAAATTTCTTCTTTTGAGCTTTTAATACGAGGGTTCCAAAAAATTAAAATTTTGAACATGGCAGAAAATCTCCTAGAAATCTGGTTGCAAATGATGTCAATAACAAAGTTATAAACATTAACTTTAAAATATTCTTCTCTGTTTTCAAAACGATGGTCAAAAGAAAGTTCATCATAGTGCTTTTTCACTTTTGGTTGCCTCTTTGCTTGAAATGACTGACCAATGCCCCATTTAATGGCCATATGATATGGCCCATATCTATGGCT